TCAAAACTGATAATTATTTCCCTCACTTTACTCCCTTCAAATACTGTGTCCTGTAGGTACTAGATTAATTTCTTTATCATAAAACTTGCGTCCTTGTGGTTCTTACACATGCATCAATTTGTTTCTATAATATCATTAACTTGAAACGAACCGTTGTAATTAAACGAGGGGCGTTATTTTCTATATCTCTTTATCAGTCACACATTTTATTCTTTTTATTTATTATTTTCGTACATTTTGCCTTTGTTCACCGCGATACAATTTTACAAAAATATATATGTAACTCACAAAACAAATGTACAGACTGTGAACCTCTGGGCTATTATTTTATTCTGAGTTGCATTTATACTGTTTAGAGTAGGGATGACTCTCTGAGATGATATATCACTTATATGAGACAAATATTTTTATGTATATGCCCCGTTGTTTACAACAGATCGTTGTCCTACTCTTTGTTAGTTGCTGTGGAAACACGGAAATCGACGTTACACCGTGCCTATGTATCATTTACTGGTTACCATGGTGACAGCGGCTTCACACACGGTTTAATTGCGACAGGGCAAAAAGAACTGAAATCCTAAAAACATGAGCTGGAAGTGGTAACTAATTGTCGATTTTCAAAGAACTTTATAAATGCTGGATCATTTTCCATTAAATGAAACGTAATTTCCTGCTCTCTGTTGTACGTTACATTAGCAAAGGTACTCGTTAAGATTTTATCACAAATCAATTTGCTTCATCGATTAGGCCTGCCGAGTCAAAAGTATGACTGATTGTCGGCTGGCTCCGGCCTGATTTTGTGTTTGGCTTGTCATTTTAATGTATCTTTCCTGTTATTCCGGTGACGCCGATTTAATTAATTATTTCGACTCATTAGTTGTGTAAGTGCACAGTTCATATCATCGGAAATACTCTACGGATTTCTGTGAAATGTTATTTATGTTGGGGAGGATCTATACTGAAACATTTGTAACGAATTTCGTTTTGTTCCGTAAAATTCCTACATACCACCTGCATTACATTCAATTCTAATCTGCCGTTATGAATTTTTTTTTTAGAAAGATAGGATTTTAAAACAATTTTATGCTTAAAAAATGTGAGTCAGTGGTTACCACACCTTTAATCTCGAATCACTTAAAAATTTGGTAAGGTTTTTGGAAGACCATGTAATGATTCTCTGTCAGTTGTTAACAATTTCAATATGCTGTGCTCTACGTTGGAAATATTAGAATGAAAACTTATAACAGAGATAATGTATTCCACAAGTAAATTATATTTATTTTTTCTTGTTTTATCTTATAATTAGTTATTGTATTTCGTGGATATAGTTGAGTTGTTAAAGTTTATGTGGGTTGGAACTACAAAATGTCACATGGAAACTTATGACAACGTACATCCTTGAAGTTATTAGGATGTTATGAAAAATGATCTTGTTTCAGATAGTGGGCGGATAGAATTAGGGTGAATGATAAACTCCTGGCACCCTCTCATCCCACCCGTAACCTTTTTTTAAAAAAATGAGACACTTCTCTCTTATTCCTATTTCTGTGCACGTTATTGACCGTGTCTGGTTCTTCGTGGGCATTCCAATTTGTGTTATGTAACAGGAGAGTTTATCCAGTTCACTATTTTTACATTAACGCCGTGCACTTCCCATAGCACATAGCACCATCCTGAGAAAGGTAAAAGTGGACCAGATTTCACTTTGAATGTTTTAGAAACATTTGCTTTATAACGTGTCTCGTACATTGCATGAATTTTCTACGCAGAAATATTTAACTTTGCGTTTATCTTGTTCGAAATACGGAAAGCTGTGATTCTGAACGGACTGTGGCAGTCCGTCACAATATTTGTAATCATTGCACTCACAGAATTTGTGGATATATGGTCCCTTAGCTTCACGATCAGCGAGTAACTTTCATAAACATTTCTTTTTCGACATACGTGTCATGCGTGAGGCGTTGATTGGACGAAAGATGAGGACGTGTGACTGGCTGATGCTTCTTATTCGGGAGGTCTCGTGTTCATATCTCGGCCCAGAAACCAGCTGTCATGACTGAGGTTCGTCATGATTTCCCCCAGTCCCTCCAAAATGCTGGTGTAGTGCCTCAAATTAAGGCATGGCCGCTTTATTCCATATCTGATTGTATGCATTGGCACTACTATAACGATTATAGTCTGTAATGTTACTAATACAATTACTGTTCACGTGCGGATTAACAAATAACTTTGCTTTAGAACACGGAAAAACGCGCAAGGATGTACACCAAGATAGGAGAAAGGTTTCCCTACGTTTTCTCAACATCGTTATATTAAAAGTAAATTGAAAGAATAAATTAAATTCCAGAACTGTAAAAGAGTTACAACAAAGCAGAGACAAATTACTAAACGTTTCATAAATACTGTAGGAAGGGAGATGTTTCTTCAGTGAACTGCAGGCTACACCAAGCAGCTATATCCGTAATAAGTACAAAATTGTATTAGTCTAATTTCGTTCCACAAGGAAGGAAAAGTAGATGTATGAAATGCAACCGTTTGCTCAGCTTTTGAATTAATTTGCCTGGTTTTTTACGAAATTTTATGCGAAATTTACGCCATTGGAGGTCACCCCAACCTCGTATGTCTTAATTTCATAAAATTATTGATAACAATATGGCGTAAATACGAACTTCTGAGGTTGTGACTACATTAGATCACTTTAAAATTATGCGTCATAATAGATATTTGAGAAATATGTAGCTATTCTAAAGGCAGTTTTTTTGTAGAATGTAAAATAATATATTGTCGCCTGTCGGGAAGTTTAATTTAGCTTTCGTGTCGATAGAGATAAATATTGAAATGCAAGAGTGAGGGATATACAGTGCTGTACGCGGATAGAAATATTATTTGTAAATCAACAATTGCAATCTGGAGGCAGTACAAAGCTTCTGGTTTGTATGTGACGTGTATTTTACGTCAGAATCTGTACTTACGATATAAGTGGAAGGCTGTCGTGAAAATGACGACGAAAAATTATATTTCAGGTTCTCACGGTGACAAGTATGAAGGTGTCTTCTGGGATGTGTGACGTGTAGTTTGATGGAAGTTCTCCGACGTTTCAGAGGTGCTTACTGCTTTCACCATCGGGGACCTGATGACGGATTCAGCAAGCAGCTCTGAAACGTCGGCGAACTTCTACCTGACGACAAGGCCCATAGTCCCAGAAGACAGTAATTTTCACGGTAATGAAACTTGGGGTTCCATAAAAAAGGGTACTGTCTTGATCAGCTGAATAACTATAAACTTATGAAGAAGGACTCTGTCCCGTGGAGTGAGTTTATTTCAACACAGTCTTAGGTTTAATGCGTAGGTTTTTATGTGGTAAAAGCGGGGTCGTAGAGCTATTTGCCTGGAGCAATGAAGTGAAGAGAATAATGTCTGATACGTCATTTTAGTTCTACGTTTTAACATTACGCTCCTTCATAGTGATATGAAAGGTCCTTACGAAAGTCATGAAGTAGAAATAATAACAGTTACCTGAATTCTTTGGTAGTTGAGTAATAGGGGATGGTCGCCTGTTTACGACGCACGTCTGGGTGCAGAATCTCGTATTGCTTTCATCTCATTAAAGGGCAACATCACATTTTGCCCTGGCCATTTTGAGGTCAACTTTGCGCACTGCTGGGCCTCGAAACATGGCCGTTTGTCTAATGTAAATTTCTTGTAACTTTCCCGCAAGGCTTCTGAAGGGAAGAGACCAGTTGGGAGACAGGCGCATGGAGAATGATAATATGAAAACGGGTCTTGAAAAACAGGATATGAGAAGGTGGAATGGATTAATCTGGCTTCGGATAGGAACCGATGAATGACTTATGTGAGCACGGTAATAAACGTGATAATACCGATAGATCTGTAAGAAATTAAGATTACGTAAGAAAGATTCTTACGTATTCATAGCAATAACCCTTAAAGCCAAAATTCCAAGTGTGCTTAATTTTACCAGTAAATCAAAAATACATTCACGAAGAAATTAAGAGCACATTTCATATGGGAATGCATAGTACTACTTAGTTCAGAACATTTATTCCTCCGTCATAGGTTAAAATGTACGAAACTATAATTTAATCTGCCTTCAACGAGAGCGTGATACCTGGTTTCCCAAAGGGAGACTCTGATATATGGTTATTTAGACCTGGAACATAATATATATGTCTAACAGCATAATAAGAAAAACATGTAATAAGAAGCTTTGTAGGTTTTACAAGTCACGAAGTACTGTCGTTTTTGAACCATGGATAGCGAACTAGGCAGTGCATGTAGCACGGATGATGTGATGAGAAATTCAGTCAAAATGTTTGTTGGTAATCCTGAATGGCATGGAAGAAATCACTTGGAAGACATAGGCCCAGGTGGGAGGATATTATTAAAATTGTTATTAATGAATACGGTGTGAGGGTGTGGTCTGGATCCGGCAGTAGACTGCTTGGCCAGCTTAGACACTGTACGGGGTAAGTTAGGTAATTGAATGAATAGGTGAGGAACCTTGTGATTTAAGGCTGATCATTCTGTCCGTCACACCTCTGATTAGAAATGTAGTGGTCTGGCTTTGACTGCCAGTAATTGCTGCACCAATTAATGACTAGTGTCCATTGATCTGATAAATTTTGGTGAAATTTCAGAATCACAGTAATGTGCAGTGATTTGTTCGTGTTAGTGGTTGTGGCGCGTCTAAAAAAGGCATGTCGTGCCATCATGTTATATCCCGAACATAATTTAGTGTACCAATGTTAGAGAGGCAAAGGTATGGTACCAACTTTTGAAACCGAATTATAATTAGGACTAGTATACACGAACTAAATGAAGGATTGATGTGTGAAATAGAAGAGGGTTTTTGCAAAATTTTAACAAATTCAAAAAGTTATTCTACATATGTGAAAGTAAATCTGTCCCACTGTACGCCATGTAGGCGCTTGGGGGGGGGGAGACGGTATAACAAGCAGTTTACGAACATTCTGTTGCAGGGTTACCTGCGGCCGGCTTGATCGCGAATTCGATAGTGAGGAATGCAACAGAAACAGCAAAGGGTAAGTTAAATTCTTTTAGTAGTCGTATTAAAAGTGTTTTTCTCCTTAGGCGTTCATTTCTTCATAAAGTTACGCAGTCGCACGACATTTTACTTACATGCCACCATGATAATAAGGTGACCAACATGAAACAATATTACAGGCAGTTTTAACAGAATAAACATTAATTGATAATGTTTGATCCAGTGGTCCACAGGTTTTTTATTCCACAATAATAAATTATTTTGACTTATGATAAGGTCCAACCGCCGATTTTCTTATTCCATAAGGGAATAGAATTTCTTGACTACCTGAGCGACTATCAGCATGTCAAAATAGCCTCTGCTTCATGGAGTCAGTCAGTTACACAGTTAGTTAATTAGTTAGTTAGAAGCCCCTCCCATGGCTGTGCTCAAGATAACTATGGCTTGAAGCTGTTAGGGTTTAATTAACTTGTTACTATATTAAGTTGAAAGACGAATTTCGTGATTCGGTGGTAGTTATCTGCGTAAAGCTGAATCCTTAGATATGTGCACACTGTTACTGAAATTTACTGTATTATGTTAAGATACAGCCGTAATCGTGAAAGGTAAAACAGCATACACGCTTAAGTTAAATTTACTTTGAACGTAAAGTTTAAAACTCAACCAAGCGCCACTTATGTGAGTCACTGAATACAGCCGACAGTACATTTCCGAATCTGGAGGTTTCTATAGCTTATTAAATATTTAACCAGCGCGTAAATATTTCAAACACAAGCAATGATAAATAATTCAGTGAGATTAATATGTAATAATCACTCGCGTTTTATTAACTCCTGAATAATAAAAATCAAAATGTTGTGTCGTTTATTCATTTGTCTGCATACTGTTCCCAACAACGGAATCCTTCACAAAAGGATTCTTGTTAAGCTCCTTCATATGCAACTTCTTTCTAGCCTTCTCTTACTACCTTTATATTATGTACAACCTCTACAGGAAGTTCTTATGCTATCTCAGAATGTATTCTTCCTATATGGCGAAAAACCAAGTTTCACACGTGTACAAAATTACAGGTAAAATTTATTAAATAACTAAAATATATCATTAAGCATTATCCCATACTTCATTGATCAAATTAATTATTTTATGTTTCCTACTTTAACTTAACGTGAGTCCAGACAGCGAAGTCTGTAATTTAAGTATCTGGATTCCCTGAACAGCAAACGCGAAACTGTACTTGGTGTTTTATGTGGGAACGGATGAATGATTTTACTTCGGAGAAGACATCTTATAAGATCAAGGCTGAAATGGGAGCATTATACCTGACTGGACGTTATGAAAATACATTTTTGTGGTATGAATTTGACTGAAGTAATTCGAGCTCGATTCACATGTGGGGGTATTGTTAGCAGAATTGAAGGTTCAGGTTCTAGAACCACGCAGTAAGTTCGTTTAGTAAAACATTTGTACAGAGATCGCCGTTGCTAAGTAACGGTCAGCAATAAAGGAAATAGGTCAGGTCACACACAATTTTACTCACCTTTTATATAACTCTCGCGGATTTCTAAGCGCTAACCGAACCATTTTCATGCACAAATCGTAGGCCACATTGAAGCAATTTAAGAACACCTTGAAGAAGAGAATCGAGATTCTAAGCAGCAAGCTTCCAACACTCTATTAATTTGTCTAGAATCGGGTCATTTATTGAACAGACAAAACGCTAATTCGATATGTGTCAGGAGATAAGGTTTTATCTTTACAACACACCTGAGAATCAGTCTGTGAGACAATTGCATTACTCCTAACCAAACTTTCCTAGTCCCTGGAATGACCCATACATTCAGCTCCGTTCGTTTTGTAACTCAGTTTTGAAAGACACGACCTATTAATCACACCGTTCGATGTTGCCCTCTAAGAGCGAGAGGAAAGTTTACGAATAGCTGAAGTTACACATTTGTCAACTCCAACATCGGCTGTCTCGCGAATCTCAATTACATTATTTAACGTTAAGCGAATGGAACAAATTATTATGACTTTGAAGATGACGTCTTCTTGGGTTTTGCGACGTGTAGTCTGGTAGACTTTTATAAAAGTTTAAGAAGTTCTTCCTGCCACCATCATCAGGGCGATGGGTCAGATTATGCCTCCTGGTACCCATAGAAATGGAGGAATAATTAACAAAACACAACAGCAGATTTTGACAGATCGTCTGCCGTTTTGCTGTAAAAGACAGCGGGATCAATATCTAAATAATTGAATCAGATCTGGGGTTCTCATGGAGGTGAATATGTCGAAGGTTATATTCAGTCCTGAAGATGGAGGCAGCGTGTTTATGAAAATCATCTGTATGCAGCTACTGTAACTACAGATAAATTGAATTATTTTACCAGCATGTTAAGTTCTACAACGTCCGTTTGAAATGCTTTTTGATATGTTAAAGTTCTAACAAAATTTAAAGAAAACTAATTTCTGGCTCTGTGCGTGGCATGTACAATGTAAATAGTTTTACGTCAATAGATAATTTGCATTAAGGCTATTGCAATGCACAAAATATCAAGGAAGGCAAGTGTAAAATACGTGTACTCCCTCTCTACTCCTGCCGTGTCTATGTAGGATGAAGTGGGAGTGGCTCTGCTTGGCCTCTGTTTTGTGCCTAATTAATTTATTTGGGCGGGAATCCCTCTGGCGACGTGCTCCACCAGTGGCAAGCCAACCCAAGCCTTGTGTTAGCACAGAGAAATGCAACATGTAGTCCACTTGCTGATCTCTCATATTTTATCTCTTGTATTAACAATAATATGGCATTCACAAAGCATACTGGAATTATAACTGTGGGCGTTATATTATAAGGCATGCAAATTAATTTCATTCTAAAGCAAACTTAGTTATGTTATGAAATGTCCGATCAAAAGATTAAAGGATTTTTTTTTCAACTTCTGTTAATAGTTAAGCGATTTAAATTTTATTTTGATGAAATATTCTTTCTCTAATATAGAAACATTCTGTCTTTTGAATCTCCCTCTTTAAGTCGATCGACCGTTCTGTTCCTTTCCATACTACCCATTCATTTAACCTGTTCGCTCAGTCATTGATTTGTCACTTCATTCATTGTATAGTCACCCATTCAGATGTCTCGTCTCCTAACTCATTCATCATTCTGTCAATCACAATCTATTAATTGCTTGCAAAGGAACGGTATTCACTATTTATGACGTTTATCATGTCCATCGTGTATCAAGTTCGTAGCTTAAATTGTGTGTTACAATAGATGTGTGTGATTTGTCGTATAAATTAGCAGAACTATTGTTAATCAGTTGAAACAAGCATTTATGAAAATCACACAGGCCAATGCGATCTGAATTAGATAAATTTAATTGTCAACAATCACGTTGCTACTGCATCAGGGGCTGCTTTGACGAAAAAATTAGGATCGATCAAGAATTTTTTGCTGTGTCTGGTAAAAACGGCGATTAAAATTTGTTGCTGTCGTACCAGAGCGAGTTTTAATGAGTTGAGTTCTGAGTAAAAAGCATTATGTAATTACTTTATTCAATTTACACTTTTATAAAATATTGTACGTGTCACTACGGATGATGTACGTAAAATAATTTCTGAATACATGACTTAATTATTTGCTAATTAATTGTATAATTACTAAATGTGATAAAAACCTTAGCTTGCTCCTATTTCATAGAGTAGACATGAATAAACATGATGAGATGTAAATTGCACTTGTAAATCCCTTTGACTACGGAAATCAGATGAAGTTTTTGTTGTTTGTTGCATCCGGTTAACAGAGCAATCATGTTAATGTCACAATATTTTCGCTATGGAAATTCAATATAAATAAAATACGTACGTGTGAATCAGGGAGGGTTTATATTGTTTATATTTGCCATCCTTCTTGAGTGCTTCGCTGTTTGAGGTGAAAGAAAATTATCATAATTTTAAATTCGCTCTTCCTAGTTTATACTTTCAGTAAAAGATTGAAACTTGTACCTTAAAGATTAAGTAAATTTGTAGGTTTCTTAATTCGTTGTAAGGTAATGGGGGTAGTAACTTGAAATTAACCTATGTGACGTTCTTCTGTATTATTATAAATTTACCTTTGTAATTTGTTTTATATTCTTTTCCGATTCTGCATTATCTTTGTAATTGATGTTAAGTCTATCAAAACCGACATGAAAAGCAGAAATGTATATGAAAGCTTATAATGAAATAAATATGAAACAATCTTAGTTCATTTGAACTAGAGAAATACATCATAGGGCCTGCTTTTAACACGTGTAATACATATTTCGGAGATGAGTACAGAATTCCAGAGTAGAATGGTAAATCCAACGGATAAATTTCCTTTTATATATTTTGTCAGAGTTTTATACTAAATACATTATTCAGAGCTAGGCGTAAACTGAGCACATGAAGTATTGGGTATGTGTTGTAAGTAACAGAAGCATCCAGTTCCTGTTTTCTTTATCACCAGCTTCCTGAAGGATGCCTTACGTAAGCGAAGATAAAGTATAAACAAATCGAAGCTTGTTGTTACAATAGTCGCTTAGAGTGAAAGTGAAATCAACGAGAGAACAAAAGATAGAATATTTATAGCGCGATTTTATGATTAGTTTTCGTGTCAATGAAAAATTGCCAGTTGTTAAAATATCGGCCTACTAGTAAACAGTAATAAAGCTACTGTCAAATTTCGGATTCCGGGACGAGGCCTGTAGATGGCAACTCCAATGTTTGTCGAAACTTTTGAAATACCTTCAACAGTTGATGCGGCTTATCGCCTAAAGCCGAAGTTGTTTGGTAAACTCTAGACGCAGGAACTTAAGGACAGGCATAATAAAATTCCTCTGGACAAGATGGCTTTCTAGTTTTGGTTTAAAAACGAGTTGAGGTGGCGAGCAGACTTCCTTTTCGAAAATCTTGATCGTAGAATTTACGCAATAAACTAGTCTTTTGATGTTCTTCATGTTCCAGTATACGGCCACATCTGCACTCTTGTAACTTGGCTCGATGGTTTGTGTGTAATTAGAGTAG